TTTCCCTACCTGACTTGGGGTACGTGACATTGAAGACATCATCATCCCGCACCTGGAATTCGTTCTCCACATAGCTCAGTTCCTCCGGGGAGTAATCTGGACTTGAGAACAGCACCCCCTTGTGGGTGAAGTACTCACGCTCCATGGCTGGGCTGGAACAGGGACAGCTCCCGCGTCAGTAGAGGGCACCGTGCTGCTGGGAGTGCAGTGAGGCTGTTACTTGTCTGTCGGACCTCGAGTCACCTGCACTCGGTACTGGTTGAACTGATTCCTTGGTGTGTTCTGGGAACAACTCCAGGGCTGCTCTGCTGACTGCGGCTGGGCTGCAGCTGGGGTGGGAGCCCTCTGTGTAGCTGAAGGGCTCAGTCACTCTGGTCTGCCCCTCCCCTTCCCAACTCCCTCCCTCTTGGACCCGGATGGAGCCGGTGCCACTCAGCAATTGGAGGCCCTGACAGGTCTGCCCAAACAAGGACAACAGCCTTTGGACTTGGGAGCAGCTAATGCCTTTAACCCTCTCAGGCGTGGTGCTCGGTTGCAGTTCCTTGTGCCTCTTCCCAGCTGTATCAGGTGCCTGGGGTCTGGTGTGAGAGGGAGGGAGCAGGTGTGTAGCAGATCCCCCCTTCCCCGCCCCAAGGAAAGGGGTCTGATCCATGGGCTTTCATGGCAGTGAGGGAATGGTCATCACGTTTGGCAGAGGGCTTAGCCACTCACCTTGGTTGCTCCCATCCCTGTTCCACAGTGATATCGCACCGCCCCCTGCAAACAGAGAGCTGGAGTTAAAAGATTTTCCCTTCACCCCCCTCCTCTGGTTCCGCCTGTATGACAAGGAGACCAGCAATCCCATGTGCAGGCAAAGCCTTGTTTATTGGCCTTAGTTCCAAACAAGCATATACCAAAGCCCTTCATTCCATCGAGAGTTCCCTCCCCCTTTCCCCTCCCCCAACACAGAACCCTTCTTCTGACCCCCCCCCCCCCTCAGCTCCCACACACTGCCAGAGCACCTCTTCCCAGGGCTTGTTCCCAGCTCTCGCACCCCAGAGCCTTACCTGTGTCCCTATAGCTCCAGTCCCCTTCCCATGCCCCACCTGCTGCTCAGCAGGCTGAAGGAGAAAGAGAAAACCTGAAGTATGGGCTTGGTGTAAGGCTACATAAATAAGGGCTCCAGGAGGGAGTAAAGGCAGACACACTCTTGCTATAGCTGGGGAGCAGGAGGACCCTGGCTGCTAAGGAAGCTGAGGCCTTCCTGGGACAGGGCAGTGCTGGGGAACTCTGGTCTGCCCTCACTCCCAGGCAGCAGGGCCTGAAGCAAGGTCTCAGGGTTTTAGGGCTGTGGGGAGATGGCCAGGATATCAAAGACAGCAGTGATGAGTGGCCATTGCAGACTGCAGTTTGCCCCTGGCTGGGGGTCACTGAGGCAAGGTGGGTATAGGGGAATTGGGGGCTCCTTGGGAAGGGAGAACCCCAGAGTACAGAGACTGATAAACACCCCGGGAAGGGGCCAAGAGTCACTGGAATGGGCTGCTGGAGTGGAGTGTCCTAAAGAGGACGCCACGGTTTGGGAGTGATGTGGGTCTGGAGCTGACATGGGGAGCCAGAGGGAGACATCTGGTAGACAGATATAAGCTAATTCCTAGTGCTTCCAGCAGGAGGCATGTGGTGGTGAGTGTCCGCCCGGTGACACAGATATTTTCCTGCAACTCGGAGTCTGGGACATGAACTCCACATAAGCATTATTCGCACTGCTAAAGCACCGGGACATGCAAATACATCACAGCAGGGCAGCATAAGGACACCCCAGCCTGGCACACAATAAAATGGTTTAAGGAAAGGGATGAATTGTGATATTGTGACACTATAGTAACAGAAACTAAGACAGTTTAAAGAAGCAAGAGAAATAACAGAGTCCTGGGATGCTCCTGCTGCCTAACAGGACAGGAAGCAGTCCAAAGACAGCAAGCACAGGAACGAAACAAAACACCGTAAAGAATCTGCAAAAAAATAGAAGTGCCATCCCCTGATTTAAGTATTGGTAGTCAGCAATGGAGTTCAGGTGATGCCTGTGCTTGGTGGATGGGGACAAATAGAAAAAATTTTACCTTAGCAAAATTAAAAGATAAAACAGGGACAACTGCAGTGCAACCTTCACCATATAATAAATGCTAGGTTCTTGTAAAACTTAAATCTAGCCTTCTATGATGAGGTAACTGGCTCTGTGGACATGGAGAAGTCAGTGGATGTGACATACCTTGACTTTAGCAAAGCTTTTGATTCGGTCTCCCACAGGATTCTTACCAGCAAGTTAAGGAAGTATGGATTGAATAAATGGACTGTGTCGCGAGAACCACAGGCCTGATGATGCATACCCAAGGGGGGAAGGACAGAACCAGGTGGACCGTTTTAGTAAATAAAAGATATTTATTTATGACAGTGATGAATTTATAGTATTTATTCTACGATTTTTAATTGACCGTGTCAGTAATGAATTTACAATATTTATTATATTTATTCTATGATTTCTAGTTGAACGTATCAGAAATATAAGGATGGGAACGGCAAGGGGAATAGTCTCTGCTCTAAAGATATCAAGCTATACTAATTAATAACAGTGATAACTACAAACTCTATGTACTACCAAAACAACTATAACACTAAGCTATACAACAAGAAAAATCAAATTATACATACCAACTTACACAGCACACGGAACAATTCAAAGATATCAGTTCGGTTGCGAAGGCCTTGGTTATGCCCGAGAGTCTGGGGAGGTGGCTGGTCGGTTGATCAGGCCAGCAGCACTTTGAAGTGTATGGAAAGGCATACGCACAGTGGTGCGTGCGTTGCAAAGACCTCCCCGAGTGAACTGTGCGATGGGTATTTATCCCAAGTCTACACATCACTTTCCGCGATTGCATATTACCATATATGGGCCAACAGTCAAAAAGTGGGGGTATGTGTCACAGGGGTTGGGCCGAAACTGTGCAGGTTTCATGCAACCAGGTAAGCCCCGCAGTTCTCACGCCAAGGTGATGGGTGGGAGAGTCCAAGGCTATTTTCCCCTTTTCACACTTTCCCTTTTCTAAAGGGAATGGTATGCAGGAAGAGTACGGCCGATTTCTCCCAAGGAGTACTGTGGCTCACTATAGCAAGAGCGGCCTGGCCAAACTTTCTAACAGGCTGTAAGGTGAATAGGAAGCTGGCTAGATTGTCAGGCCCAACGGGTAGTGATCAATGGCTCGATGTCTGTTTGGTGGTTGGTTTCAAGCGGAGTACCCTAAGGGTCAATTCTTGGATCCTTGTTCAACATCTTTATTAATGACATGGATGAGGGGATGGATTGCACCTTCAGCAAGTTTGTGGATGACACTAAGCTAGGGGGAGAGGAAGAGTGCCCGAGAGTCTGGGGAGGTGGCTGGTCGGTTGATCAGGCCAGCAGCACTTTGAAGTGTATGGAAAGGCATACGCACAGTGGTGCGTGCGTTGCAAAGACCTCCCCGAGTGAACTGTGCGATGGGTATTTATCCCAAGTCTACACATCACTTTCCGCGATTGCATATTACCATATATGGGCCAACAGTCAAAAAGTGGGGGTATGTGTCACAGGGGTTGGGCCGAAACTGTGCAGGTTTCATGCAACCAGGTAAGCCCCGCAGTTCTCACGCCAAGGTGATGGGTGGGAGAGTCCAAGGCTATTTTCCCCTTTTCACACTTTCCCTTTTCTAAAGGGAATGGTATGCAGGAAGAGTACGGCCGATTTCTCCCAAGGAGTACTGTGGCTCACTATAGCAAGAGCGGCCTGGCCAAACTTTCTAACAGGCTGTAAGGTGAATAGGAAGCTGGCTAGATTGTCAGGCCCAACGGGTAGTGATCAATGGCTCGATGTCTGTTTGGTGGTTGGTTTCAAGCGGAGTACCCTAAGGGTCAATTCTTGGATCCTTGTTCAACATCTTTATTAATGACATGGATGAGGGGATGGATTGCACCTTCAGCAAGTTTGTGGATGACACTAAGCTAGGGGGAGAGGAAGAGTGGTTGAAGGGCAGGGATAGGGTCCAGAGTGACCTAGATACATTGGATGGTTGAGCCAAAAGAAATCTGATGAGGTTTTACAAAGACAAGTGTAAAGTCCTGCACTTGGGACAGAAGAATCCCAAGCACTGCTACACGTTGGGGACTAATGGGCTAAACAGCAGTTCTGCAGAAAAGGACCTGGGGATTACAGTGGATGAGAAGCCAGATATTAGTCAACAGTGTGCCCTTGTAGCCAAAAAGGCAAATGGCATTTTAGGGTTCATTAGGAGGATCATTTCCAGCAGATCTAGGGTATGTCTACACTACCCCGCTAGTTCGAACTAGCGGGGTAGTGTAGACATACCCTAGATCTGCTGGAAATGTTCCTCCTAATGCACCTTCTTGGCTACAAGGGCACACTGTTGACTCATATCCAGCTTCTCATCCATTGTAATCCCCAGGTCCTTTTCTGCAGAACTTCTACTTAGCTGGTTGGTCCCCAGCCTGTAATAATGCTTGGGATTCTTCCGTCCCAAGTGCAGAACTCTGCACTTGTCGGCTCCCCGCTTATGCTAATGAAGCCCGGGAAATTCAAATCCCGGGCTTCATTAGCAAGTGCGGTATGCATACATTACCCCGCTAGTTCGAACTAGCGGGGTAGTGTAGACATACCCCCAGAGAAGTGATTATTCCCCTTTATTTGGCTCTGGTGAGGCCACAGCTGGAGTACTGAATCCAATTCTGGGCCTGCCTCTATAGAAAGAATGTGTACACATTGCAGCCCGGGAAATTCAAATCCCGGGCTTCATTAGCAAGTGCGGTATGCATACATTACCCCGCTAGTTCGAACTAGCGGGGTAGTGTAGACATACCCCCAGAGAAGTGATTATTCCCCTTTATTTGGCTCTGGTGAGGCCACAGCTGGAGTACTGAATCCAATTCTGGGCCTGCCTCTATAGAAAGAATGTGTACACATTGCAAGGGAGGTCCAGCAGAGGACAACGAAAATTATTAGAGGGCTGGAGCACATAAATTAGGAGAGACTGAGGGATTTGGGCTTGTTTTGTCTGCAGAAGAGAAGCGTGGGGGGGATTTGATATCCGCCTTTAACTATTGAAACAGAGGTTCCAAAGAGGATAGAAAGAGTTTGTGGGTCTGGCCCACGAAAGCTCATCATCTAATAAACCATCTTGTTAGTCTTTAAAGTGCTACATTGTCCTGCATTTTGCTTCAACTACCCCAGACTAACACGGCTACATTTCTATCACTATTCTTTGTTCTCAGTAGTGACCGATGGCAGAATCAGGAGCCATGGTCTCAAGTTACAGTGGGGGAGGACTAAGTTGGATATTACGAATAACTATTTCCCTAGGAGGGTGGTGAAGCACTGGGATGGGTTCCCTAGGGAGGTGGTGGAATCTCCATCCCTAGAGGTGTTTAAGTCCTGGCTTGACAAAGCCCTGGCTGGGATGATTTAGTTAGAGCTGGTCCTGCTTTGGACAGGGGGTATATCCACCTGAGGTCTTTTCCAGCCCTATGAATCTGTGATTCTAAGCCCTAAAATAGTGACTGTCAGTCAGGAGAAGTAAGTGCCCAGGAGGGAGAACTAGCAAACAATACTGTCCCAAGATTGGTAAATCAGAGAACAAAAAAACAATAATTTGCAGAGCACATTGGGAGGCAGGACCTGTGACTGGTTTAGAAAAGCTAGATGTCTGCAAGTCATCAGGGCCTGATGAAATTCATCCTAGAATACTCAAGGAACTGACAGAGGAGGTATCTGAGCCTCTAGCTATCAGCTTTGAAAAAGTCAAGAGGCTACGTCTAGGCTGGCATGATTTTCCGCAAGTGCTTTTAACGTGCCAATCTAGACGTGGTTTTGCACAAGAAAACCCCGATCACCATTTTCGCAATCGGGGCTTTTTTTGCGCAAAACAATACCGCGTTGTCTACACTGGCCCTCTTGCGCAAAAGCATTTGCGCAAGAGGGCTTTTGCCAGAACAGGAGCAGCATAGTATTTGCGCAAGAACACTGACAATCTTACATGCGATCGTCAGTGTTCTTGCGCAAATTCAAGAGGCCGGTGTAGACAGCTGGCAAGTTTTTCCGCAAAAGCACCTGCTTTTGCGGAAAAACTTGCCAGTCTAGATGCAGCCAAGAGAGATTCCAGAAGACTGCAAAAGGGCAAATATAATGCCCATCTATAAAAAGGGAAATAAGAACAACCCAGGAAACTACAGACCAGTCAATTTAACTTCTGTGTGAAGGAAGCTAATGGAGCAAGTAATTAAGGAATTGTGATGGGGTGGAGCAACCCCGCCACTCGTTAGTGCCGAACGGAGCAGTCGGGAGGGAGGCAACAGGCGTGGCAGGTCTGAGCGAGGGAGGTGGGACGCGTCATCACATGGCGCCTGGGCATGCCGGTGATGACGTCATACGCGCGACGCTAGGGAACCCGGAAGGGAGGGGGAGAATAAAAGAAGCGGAAGCGGCCGGGGTAAGAGGGCTGGAGCCAGCGGGGTCCGGAGGCCAGGAGAGAGGGGAGGAGACTGCGAGACCCGGACAAGCGGGAAGCGGAGGAGGCAAGGGGCCCGCGGGGGCCAGCGGGTGACCAGTACGGCTAAGGGCCGGCGGAGTGGAGCAGGACCCAGGGCGGGCTGCGGAACCCGAGAGCAGGTGTATTTGGGGTACTAGCCCCCCTGCTACCACTGAGAGGCACACTCTCGGTGTCAGGGCCCTGGGTCGGGGTCTGGAGAGAGGGTGAGCCCGGACCCCCCACTCCGCCCGGGAGATTCGGAACCGGGCTGTGCATTGAGCACAATCTAGGTACAAGTGGGAGGGGTGGCAGCCCGTGCCGCCACCTCGCCACAGGAATACATCTGCAAACTTCTTAAAGAAAATAAGGTGATAGGTAACAACCAGCCTGGATTTGTAAAGAACAATCATATCAAACCAATCTGACAGTTTTCTCTAATAAGATAAAAGTCTTGTGGATAAGGGGAAAGCAGTGGACATGGTATACGTAAACTTTATTAAGGCATTTGACATGGTCTCACACTACCTGAAAAGTCTTGTGGATAAGGGGAAAGCAGTGGACATGGTATACGTAAACTTTATTAAGGCATTTGACATGGTCTCACACTACCTGCTTATCAATAAACTAGAGAAATGCAACTTAGATGGGGCTTCTATAAGGTGTGTGCATAACTGGATAGATAACCATTCTCAGAGGCTACGTCTACACTGGCATGATTTTCCGGAAATGCTTAACGGAAAAGTTTTCCATTAAAAGCATTTTTGGAAAAGCATGTCTAGATTGGCAGGACGCTTTTCCGCAAAAGCACTTTTTCCGGAAAAGCGTCCATGGCCAATCTAGACGCACTTTTCCGCAAAGAAGCCCCGATCGTCATTTTCGCGATCGGGGCTTTTTTGCGGAAAATACTACTGTGCTGTCTACACTGGCCCTTTTCCGGAACAGTTTTCCGGAAAAAGACTTTTGCCCAAACGGGAGCAGCATATTTTTTCTGGAAAAGCACTGATGATTTTACATTAGATCGTCAGTGCTTTTCCGGAAATTCAAGCTGCCAGTGTAGACAGCTGGCAAGTTATTCCGGAAAAGCGGCTGATTTTCTGGAATAACTTGCCAGTGTAGACACAGCCAGAGAGTAGTTATTAATGGTTCACAATCATGCTGGAAGGGCATACCAACTGGGGTTTTGCAAGGACCAATTTGGGACCAATTCTGTTCAATATCTTCATCAACAGTTTAGATATTGGTGTAGAATAGTGTTTCCCAATTGATGCCCTGCAGAATCCTGGGGTTCCGCGAAGCAAAAGTAGGGGTTCTGTGAGGAGCCGGCACTCCCCCACCCCCTCTTAAAAAGAGAGTGTCGGTGTGACCAGACGGACCCATCTCAGAGGGAAGGACTGATCCATCCTGCACACAATCCTCACTGGCCCCTGCCTTTTATGGAGTACGCAAGGGGTGGACGCCTGTTCGTGCTGCCTTTTCTTGCGTGGCGGCACAGCGGGGCCGTTCTGCCCTTGGGGGAACGCTGAGCCAGGAGACATCAGCTGCCCCCCGGGTTGTGCATCCAGGACAGAAGGGAGCAGGATGAGTAACGTCAAGACAGAGTGTGCATCAGGAGGAGGGGTTAGCAGGGTGGAGCCAGAGCAGGGAATTCAAAAGAGCTGTGGCAGCAAGAGACAGGGCGGGGGAGGCAGTGAGGGAAATTAGAGGGAGACAGGGGAACGGGAGCAGAATCGGAGCGGGAGAGGAAGCACCAGCATTATCCCAAAACCTGGAGTTAAAGCGCGGGGGTGGTGAGCATCAGAGCTAGGAGACCATGGGGGAGGGGGGCGAAGTCTGAGGTTCCTGGGGGTAAGAAGAAGCCCAGGGCAGGGCTTGCCTACAGATGGCCTGTGGGCTGGTGCGTTGTGGAAGGAGCCCCACCAGCCAGACAGGTCCTTACCTGCACCTGTCTTTAGGGCCCTGGTCTGGGACCTGTGAGTGAGGGCGGGTCTGGGTCCCCCTACTCCCACCAGCTAGAAGCGGGGCAGAACTGTTGGAGACGTTTGTGATATCGGACTGCCATTGAGGCAGAAACAAATTGTGGACCCTGAACCAAAATTAAGGCTGGCCGGAAGCAGTGCCAGCAGGGCATCAGGTTAGGACTTAGAGTGTGGAGCTGCTGTCTCAGGCTAGCCGAGGGCTGTGCTTAAAGGGACCCGACCCCCACTCCGGACAGACAGTTCTCAGGGTTCCCCGCTTGCTTGTCTACCTCGATGAGGGACAGCAAAGCAGTCCTGACTTAGGCTAGCCGAGGGCTGTGCTTAAAGGGACCCGACCCCCACTCCGGACAGACAGTTCTCAGGGTTCCCCGCTTGCTTGTCTACCTCGATGAGGGACAGCAAAGCAGTCCTGACTTGGAGTGCCCTGAGTGCCCATACTCGGCCATCAGCCTGGCTGCACTTGCCACAGGCTGCAATCTGGGGGGATCAATCGGGGGGCTGCAGGAGAGCTTTCACCCCGAGGAGCCCACAGAGG